TTTTCAATATCTAATACCATTCTAATCATAGCCTTTTTGTATTATAGTCTAGAAACTTATTGAGAAAACTTTAGTTAAACTCTCAGAATTAATGAACGACAAAAGAATAACCAAAACAGGTGATCTAATGGATTTAAATCCATTTTGTATTGTTTGTTTGAATCTTCTCATTGATGTTTAGGACTAAAATTAATTAGTCGCTTATTGGCATATATGCAGTCTTTGCGGAGTGCCTCGATATTGCCTTAAGTCACAAGCACTATAAGCAAAGATGGATGTTGGCTAGTAGTGGAATCTAGAACATTTGCGAATCGTCAATTGGTTGTACCTAAATCCGTGTTGATGTCTACTCCAAGACCCGAACCCAGAAGCGTTCGCTTCAAACACCATCACGTTATCAACTTAGCTAATGAGTCCTGATAGTCATTGGATTGTAAAATGAGGTGAAGTCCTAAACATCAATGGAAAGATTCAAACAAGCGATACAAAATGAATGAACGGTAATGAGTACGAGTAACATAGTGAACATCAACTCTGAGATGAAGATATATCCAGCTGATGAGTCCCAAATAGAACGAAGCGCGTGTCCTGGATTCCACTACTAGCCATTATCTATCTTTGCATCAAATGGATTTGTTTTATACTATACCACTCAGATAGTTAGCTTTCTAAAATTGAATATAACATGTGAAAAAAATAACATTGAAAGCCATTTAAAATACTGTTGTTTATAAACGAAAATGTATTCATGGATTTTTAAATATTTAATTATAGTTCATATCGCTATATCATTTAAATAACCGATTTAATCCCCGAAATATGAGTTCTTAAGGATGAATAAATTTATTATGTAATGACAGTTTCATTATTTACTTTAATAGGAAATAAATCATGATACGATGCCAAAATCAAATTTCAAGGTCATTAATCATTCTTTTAAATATTGTCCACTAAACTAGAATGAAGCAATTGGCTAAATGATGATTTCTTATTTCCAAATGATATTGGTTAATCAGAGTTTTCTCATAAGATTTAATCTTAAATACTTGTACAGTAATCGTTTTTTGTTCCGATAATTCTAGTAACCATTTAACTTTATTTAACTTTTATTCACTAAACTTGTCTACTACTATTATTTCCAATTGATTGATCACTGGGTGGTGATCAATGTCATGTGTGTCAAGTCCTTATTTAATGTAGATCGAATGCTATCGACCATGTTGCAATGTGGCCACCAGTTTAGGTGACTCAACACTGCGTGCACTATATATTGAGATTAGATGGTTGTTGGAGGTAGTCGACAGGATTCGATCTGCATTGAATAAGGATTTGACACACATGACATTAATCACCACCCAGTGATCCATCAATTGTGATTACATTTCAGTCCTACAGGAGATCGGTCGCGGCCCAAATAGCACAGTGGTAACGTCTCTGACTGTGAAGCTGGGTGACACGGGATCGGATCCGTCAGGGGACATCACTTCCCTCAAGATTACAGGTACACCTTGCTGACAAGTGCCAAGTAGCACGGAACCCGGGTCCAGGGTTTTCTGTTGACTACCTCCAGCCACCATCTAACTACTATTACTATTACTACTACTACTACTGCTAATAATAGTAATATCAGTAATAATGATCATAAAAATAATAACTACCCATCATTTGAACTTATTTTCAAGTTCATCTTTGTAGTTCTCCTGTGAATGTCTAATCTTGAATAACAATCAAATGATGTATAATATTCAACCTCATTAAAAAAGTATTTTCAAGTATATCAGCGGATAAAATTGTAAATGTAAACTGAAAATTCCACAACAAAAAGATTCAAGTGTACTACTGGCATATCAATGATCAAAACATGAATTAAATAATCATTTAAAGTGTTAAGTACTAGAGGTAACTTTGGATTAAAGATATTATTGTTTATTTCCTTGAAAAAGCTTGGACCAGATTGTCAGGCAAAATGTTGAATTCACTTCAAATTCTTTCACTGAGATTTTACAAATATAACATTCTTCCTCTTTAATGTCTTATATTAACCCGGCGCCCAAATACTGTAAAACTATTCGGTCAAATTTAGAAGAAAGTTCTTATTTATTTTTCTTCCTTATCATGGAAATTGAGTAAATATCTCACAAGAAAATAAATACCATTTTATAGACTGTTAGGTCCTGGGTTCGAATCTCACAGAGGTGGTTTCATGAATGCGTACTGCTGAGTAGTTCTATATTAGGACGAAACAGTCATCCAATGCTTTCAGGTTTAACATGATAGTCTAACTTCAATTGATTTGTGAATTCAATTATTAGAATGACTAAAAAACCTCTTCTGATAAAAAAATCATCTAAGTTTATTTTTCAAGAAAACTGTTATAACTTGTGGATTTGTGTGCCCTGTTATTGTATAACGCAACGATACCGCCAATCAGAGATCAGCGAATTATCGATCGAACCAGTGACGCATAAAACACGTGAGAGCAGCCTAAAGTCCTGATTGGTCTCGCGTTCTGTCTAGTCCAGCCAGTTAACTCCAGAATACCAATCTCAGCTATCGTCATATGAATCATGTATTTCAAACATACTGGGTTTATATACAAACCAAACAGATCACATCTTACTATAAAATAGGAAATAACATTCACATAAAATTTAGCCAAATGTGACTGTGAATGTAGAAGACTGTAATTAATAGACTGGGTAGAACTCAAGAGCAATAAATCATACAACAACAGTCTATGAGTCAAAATAAAGCGTATAAAAAGAGGAACATGAATATTTAAAGTCTAGTCACTGAAAAAATATACAACAAAAGCATATATATAATATTAGTCCATGAATGGATCCCAAAAAATTACCATCCATTATTCTTATCGGAATATCACACCTCCCCTTTTTGAAGATCCGGATTTTAAATTTTCCGGGTTTATGTAATGAGAAATACTGTATGGCACACAGGTTCATAAGTTATAACAAAAACCAAACAATTAGTTTATTCAAGTTAGTCGTTAAATTTTAATAGAATGATTTACTGAAACTATATTTGATTGACTAGAAATAAATGATTGTATTTTTTTTCCCTTCTTCTCCTTCTCCTTCTTCTTCCTTCATTTGGGCTCAGTTTGAATCCTGATTAGTTATATTACTATTTATCATTTTATCCATCTATTCATTCATTTAATCTATTCAATTATTTGAAGTACTTAGACGTGTACAATACTCGTCAGTTTATATGAAAACTACACATATCGGTAGTTATTATGTATAATTCATTAAGATTTCTATATTTGTCCCCCTAAAATAACATAAAACTTATGGTGAATTTACACCTTAAACAAAAACAAAAAAACAAAAAAGAGAGAAAAAGAAACGGGAATACACATCATCAATTAGATAAAGAAAAATCCAAGAAAGAAATCTAAAAAAGAATATTGACATATTTTTCTAGTCACATTAGGTAACTGTCAAAGAAATAACATTTTAAACAGTGAATTAATAAGAGAACATGTCAAAATTTGTTAAATTACTTAGATATAATGTCAGCTGTCTATTTCTTTTCTCTTTTTTTAAAATTATAATTTAGCATTCTTTTTGGCATCTTTTAAGAAAACACTCATATCACACACACACACACACCCTAGTGTACCTCTCTCTCTCTGTGTGTGTGTGTGTGTGTTCAACATACAATTTGTATAGATTTAGTCTAACGTTTACTGATTCTTTCACTGTAGAAGAAGAAATATCTGATGGAATTTTAGACTTGATGCTGTATTAACTAACTAACTAACTGAATGACTGAATGACTGAATAACTCGTTTGAAGACATGTATATGTCAAAGTTCTTTTATATTTTTAAATGATCCATTTGTAGATTTTCTATTTTATGCTATAATGAAACGACAATAAAGAAAAGTGGAATAAGTCACGTAAAAAAGTAAGAATGATGAAAGAAGAGAATAAACTGATGATGCTGGTGTTGAAGCTCTTTGTGTGTGTGTGTGTGTGTGTGTCTGTGTATAGGGGTGGGGAATGTTGAATGATGCTATTCGGAATTTTGTTGTATCTTTTTTTTTGTTTTTTGCTGATTTAATCGTAATGACCTACTGGGGAAAATGAAAGTAGACATGGAATGAAATAAATGAATATGGATTGTAGAATTCAAAATAAAAAGATTATACTTATTATGATTAGTATTGTTATTAAGTTCCTTTATAATTTCTATGCATGACAGATCTTCAGAACACATACATACTTACACCCTTATCCACTTATGTATATATATATATATGTATCCATGTACAAATTGATATGCATGTAAAGAATGCTTTGAATATGTGAAAATTCTAAGATTAAATTTACAAAAGGAACATAATAGAAACAAATTAGAAACACGAGAACATGTTACAATGCTTAGAACAGAAAGAAATTGAAAGAGATAAAATTAAACAAAGTAATTTACAAAAACGAAAGACAATTTGTAAACACCCCATGGGGGTTTAAAAAAATTCTTTTATTTTATGCATTTTCTTCATTTCTTTTTACCTTTTCTTCTTCTTCTTCTTCTTCTTCAATGTTCAATTGTTTGATCAACTGTTTCGTGAATTAATTCCAATGAATAAGCGAACAAAAATTATGTTCTAACTTCTTTTCTAATGAGAGATTTACTTTGTATATATGTATATAGTTGAAAGTGACTATTTATGCTTTAAGTGATGATGTAAATTATACAGAATGGTATAGGAATAAAATGAAAAGATTGTTTCGTTTTTCTTTGTGTTCATTTGAAGAGAAAATGTGTGTGTGTGAGAGAGAGAGAGAGAGAGGAGAACGACTGATATATACAGATTTTTCACATAAGTGAAAATATTAATTAGTAAACGGATGAAAACGATCTTCTAATGATGCATAAAGGTATATCAACGAGATGACATTCGTTTACCCAATGAACTTTACATTGTACATTATATACTATTTTTTTGTCTAGTTGAAATGTGAATTTTGTTATGTTATATTGTTGATATATTTCAATATGACATGTAAGATAGATACTTTGTTACACTTAACATTTGTCGGAATGACAGATTTCATGGGGGAATATTTCATATCAACAGTCGACATTTTTTTCTTTTTTAAACTAATTGACAGTCTTTTACGATGACTACTACTACTACTACTACTACTACTACTACTACTACTACTAGTAGTAGTAGTAGTAGTAGTAGTAGTAGTAGTATTAGTAGTAGTAGTAGTAGTAGTAGTAGTAGTAGTAGTAGTAGTAGTAGTAGTAGTAGTAGTAGTAGTAGTAGTAGTAGTAGTAGTAGTAGTAGTAGTAGTAGTAGTAGTAGTAGTAGTAGTAGTAGTACCATTAAATGGACATTTAATGTGCTTAAATGATTCTACATTAAAATCTTAATGTGTATATTAATCGAGTTAAGTGTAACATATTATTCTGAGATTAGTGTGTTTTGTTGCTTACTAAATGAAGATTATTATTATTATCATGCATCATTTGAGTGTGAAATGCTAGGGCATAATTTCAACAACAAAAAGTGAATTCTTGGATTAGTTAAAGTTAGACATTGACATCGTTAGACGCCGGCCAGCTCAGTGGTTTAATGGTTGAGCACTGACGCGCGAGACTGATAGGTCTTGGGTTCGAATCTCGCGAGGCGGGATCGTGAACGCGCACTGCCGAGGAATCACACACTAGGAAGAAACGACCGTCTAGTACTTCCAGGTTTTCCATGGTGTGGTCTAGCCTCAATTTTAGCATGATCTATAATTTAGCTTAGGGTTCACAGTATTATCTCACTTATCCCTAAAAGATATTATCAACGAACTTGTTGATGGAAATTTATCAAATTTAACCATTTCACAAATTTTCGTTATTTTTATTTTTTACCATAACTAGCAACAGACTGTTTCAAAATCAGATCTTATTATTATTGTTATTATATATAATACTGAATAAGGATCGATATTAGTTGAGTATAGACTATTTAGCTGATCATCTATTTGATATGAACCAAAATTTATTGAATTATTCAGAAGCATTAATCAATACGATCAGGATATAGACATAAATCATTTTGTTCTTCTTGAATAATCAGACGGTTTTTCTTATTTTTCTACAGTCTACAATTATGAATTATTATTATCCTTACCATTACTATTACCATTACTATTATTATCATTACGATCATTACTATTATTACTATTACTTTTATTATTATTAATGTTTCAACACAAAATATTTTATTTTGAATACTTAATGAGGTAGGAACCTTAAAAGATATTGTTGGATGCTGGCCAGCTCAGTAGTCTAATGGTTAAGCGGTTGTGTGAGACTGATAGGTTTTGTGTTTGAATTTCGTGAGGCGGGATCGTGGGTGCTCACCGTTGAGGAATCCCACAGTGGCGCGAAATGGCCGTCCAGTGCTTTCGTGGTTTTTCATGGAGATCTAGCTTTAATTGGCTCATGATCTTAACTATTAAAATTACTATAATATCCATAAAACCCCTTCTGATATTATAAATGATTATTTTTCACTAATAAAGATCATTTGTTTTATTCTTTGTTTATCATATATTGTTAGTTTAATAAGACATGATATTAGATTTTAGACTTCTTCGTGGTTATCGTGACTCACTACCGTGGTAGATATTGTACTGGTGTTTAAATCAATGTTTTACTTTGCTCGAGTTCGAACTGTGAATACTCACTTCTAACAAATTGTAATTGCTATCTCTTGACGAGAATATTGAATGATAACTATTGGGATCCATTCATAGACTAATATTATATATATGTCTTTGTTGTATACTTTTTGAGTGACTAGACTTTAAATATTCATGTTCCTCTTTTTATACGCTTTATTTTGACTCATAGACTGTTGTTGTATGATTTATTGTTCTTGAGTTCTACCCAGTCTATTAATTACAGTCTTCTACATTCACAGTCACATTTGGCTAAATTTTATGTGAATGTTATTTCCTATTTTATAGTAAGATGTGATCTGTTTGGTTTGTATATAAACCCAGTATGTTTGAAATAAATGATTCATATTACAGAGGCTGGTGTTAGTGTTCTGGACTCTAAGATGCAGGGCTAGGCGGGAAGCAGGACCGGATAAGGACTGTAGACTGCTCGTACAGTTTTTATGCGTCATTGGTCCAATCGATAATCCATTGTTCTCTAATTGTCGATATCATTATGTTATATATTAATAGGGTATAATGCCCTAAGCTATTGCAGTAAACAAGATATAACTCACGTTCTCAGTTCCATGATTTGTCACTATCAGAAAATTTAATAAGAATTATTCAGAATTAACCTGCAACTACAAAATGTACTGGGAGAAAATTGGATTTATTGAGTATGAAACATTATTTGAATGAAAGAAGTCAGCTTATTTTTTTGTTAAGACTTAAGATGATTATTACCATTTACAAATTGCAATCATGTGATGAGAACACAAAGTTGGTCTATAAGAATATCATATATTTGAGCTATATATTTCGAATACTTTGGTCATAAAAATATTTATCTAGGGATTCTTATATACCAGGCAGGTCAGTTAGAGAGTGGTAAGATCAAGTGAGACAAACTCATGTTTCGAGAGCAGAGTCCTGTTGCTGATTGTAGAGAGGTGTGACAGCAGTAGGGTGTTTCCCTAGGACAACCGACATCTGAAGTTATGCTGCTTTCTCATGACAGAAGGAAAGGACCATAGAAGGTCGACTCTAAAAATGTTGCACCTCACTTTACCTCGTGGATTTCTGTGTCTGGTGGCAAGGTCTTTTGAATTGCAAAACTAACACATCAAAACTTCCCATAAAAAGGCCGTATGCGATCGACCTCAAAAAGTTGTCCCTTAGGCTCTGTGGTAATTTCCTAAGGTCGTTAAGACCACCAACGATTCGTCATTTTTAGGTCTCTCAAGAATAAATATCCATTCATGGTGTGGGCATAGCAATTCTCCTACAATTAATTTCGATTATGGTTAAATTTTGTTAAGCTTTTTTATTAACTTATTTAACAGACAGTGTTATTCTAACAGTAAAAATTCGCATATTTCTTTGTACTATTATGATCACAGTCATGTTTGTATAAACCTGTACGCTTGCTCACATGACAGTCTGTGTGCATATCTCTCTAGCTTAAACGTTAATCGCTTAAATATCGCTCGATAAGTCATTCTCTTTCCCATGTATATATAAAGTCAAATTCTTTTATTAGTTGTTGCCTTGCCTAGCTGCGCCTTAAACGATCTGAAGATAAAATCGCCTCTATATTCAGTCACACACATATATTAGCCTCTTTGCTCCAAATTCGCTCGATGTGTTGATAACTTTGTTATCTGTGCTATTCGCTAATAAACTGTAGTCGCCGTTTCTTGTTGCCTGCTGAATTCGAACAGTGTTGGGATTTATATGCTAACGGTTATCAAGGTGATTGATTAACATGGGCAACTGAGAAGTGACAAACGCCCTCATACCTCTAACAGCACCCGAGATCATCTTGTTGACAATCAAATACCACCTTCACATCTTAAGAATTCTTCCGTCCGCACGACTAACTCTTCTCATATATGTCTTTATCGCCACTTGCCACCAATGCTATAATTTGGTTTCACAAAATGTTATTCTTGGTCTATTGAAACTACAGTCTAAACTGCATGTTGAAGCTTTTAACGTTCGAATTTTTTGTCTGACAGGATAACAGACTTATTTAGCTGGGACAATGGGGTCATGCGTCATCTATGAATACTGCGTCTCCGGAACGCACATAGAGAATCCAAGTACAGTCATTTGTTTGACCTTACATTGTCACTATAAATAATCGGGACGTATTACCCTTTGAGTATCTAGAGACCCTACTGCTACTTCAAGCGGCCTCGCGCCTGTAGGTATGGCATTAAGTTCAAAAGCACAGCGGGTTCTATTAGAATGGACTCTGATAGACAGTCGTTTATGCGCTGTCCGACTAAAGATAGGGACACATGCGGTTGCCTTTTTGTTGTCTCTGTTTACGCCTTCACTGATTTCAGCTCGGATGAAGTTAAATATGAAGTAGTAGCAGGTGATTCCATGCTCAAGTAGGTGAACTAAACTAAACCGAATGGCACTTAGGCGGACCTTAAAGTGTTGCAGCTCACCGAACATATAATAGAGAGCGTCTGTTACAACTATGCTCAGATAACCTTCTGTCTCTGGTGAAAACCAACTTCGAACGTAAGGAGAAAAATCATCTGACGTGATGACCTTCATAATGGACCCATCGATGGACTCAAATAGATCACATAGCTATTAACTATCGTTGAGGGAGGGGGCTCGGCTTTAGACTGAGGCTTAATGTGGACAACATATTTAGACTTGAATCATGCTCTAGTTCGAGCAAGTATTTGTCTGTGTATTAATGAATGTAGAAAAGCCACAACAAGAAAACTCAATCGAGTTCAATGTAATGATGGAAAAATCAAGGCTATATTTCAGGAACAATCAACCGGGAAAATGATAACAACTCCAAGGTAGCTTGACATGAAATCCAAAGAGCTGTGAATACAGTAGCGATATCTACTAGTAGCTTAAATTGAAAAATTAGGAAAAATCAGTGGATGTCAGGGGCGTCTACAGCACTGATAGGTGCTCGTGAACTCGTCCCGTCTTGTTCTAAGGAGCTGAGGAAGCTTCAAAGTATGGTGGTAATAAGCTTACGTAATGATCGTTAGTGGTAGTAGCAAAATCAGGAGAGATGGAAAAGGTAGCAGCGATAGGTAACAGTAGAAAACCGTTTAGACTTATCAAGGAAACGGTTACTGAAAATCCGTCTGTTAGTGAAACTATCTCGGATAAAGACGAGACGGGTTTACTCTTAACCCAGGAGGTTGAAGTGATGAGCAGAAAACTTAAGGGACCAGTTCAGCTGGGCTTCAGAAACACTTCGGAGATCACAATTGATTGATCACTGGGTGGTGATCAATGTCATGCTTGTCTAGTCCTTATTAGTGCAGATCGAATGCTATCGATTATGTGGCAATGTGGCCACCAGTCTAGGTGACACTCAACTCGGAACTTTATATGAGCGTGTGTCTGTATCTTAACCTACTCATCACATGGTCTAGCTTCAGTTGACTCATGATCTCAACAGTTAAACTACTGAAATCTCCACAAAACCCTCTTCTGACATGTCTGTAGCTTATATTTGTGTGACTATAAATATTGATTACGCTTGATTAAATCGAGTTAGCTCCCTCGCCTTGTCTATTGCACGTCATTTTGTTTTACTTCGCTTTCCTATCATCGATTGTACAAAATATACGTATTCAAAATCCATTCTCATATTTGAATTATTTAATTCCGTTATTCACTAACGCGAGAATATTCAGGATGTATATTTCGACAGCAATCATTCAATACTGATCACTTGTCCGCTCTAACTAGAGTCAGATTCCGGGCCACTAAACTCGAATGGTTTTTGACAACTCGTGGCATAGTTGAGATATTCGTCTCCCAACCAAAAAGCGAGTTTATTGAGCATCAGTTTGCTCTGTCCTACTTTATCGACGTGAATCATGATCATTCAGTTAGTGAGTTAGTAACAACGTAGAACTTCGTACGCACGTACATCAGTTCGAGTTGCCACACCACATTAGCAGAGAGATGCAGTTGTCGACCCAAACTCCGTAGTGGTAGAGGTAGTAAGAGTATGAGCAGTAATCTGAAACATTAGGGCTTGAAGATGTTATTCACGGAGTATAAAACAGTGAAATAAATTTGGAAAGAAAATAATGGACATGAAGAATTCAGAAGATTAGAATTTAGGAGAACACAAAGAGTGGATGCACTCGCGCCATTGCAAAAGATTTCGATTTATCATCCTTACCTAGTACCCGTTTCCTAACAACTGCGTTGCTTACTCGATGGTCCCAGAATAAACGAGCAATGTTTCGAAGACACCTATGATCAAATACTAGTAACCTACGAATGTCCTCTACTCCTACCGGTCATGTTTCACTGCCATAAAGTAGGACGGGACGAACTGCTGCGCCGTAAACCCGTTTTTTGTTTGATAGACGGATATCTCGCCTGCGTCATAAATGACGCAAGTTGGCAAAAGCTAGTCGAGTCTTCTGTATCCGTGCTGAGATTTCTTCACACACCAGACCACAAGGGCTGATGAGACTCTCAAGATAAGTGAAGCAGTTGACTCGCTCAACTACTTCACTCCCTATCATTAGTTCGGGTGTCGATGCAACTGAATCCTGAGGCAACATTTTGCTTTTCGAGGGGGAGAATCGCATTCCGAACATGCTTGTACTGTTGTTTAGAGTGGTCAGATGACTCTGCATTTTGTCAGCGTCTTCACCAAATAGAACTATGTCATCGGCATATTCCAAGTCAACAAGTGAGTCTCCTGGTAGAAGTTCAACCCCTGGGAATTTAGATGAGGAAAGTGTTATCTCTAAAAGCACATCAACGACAAAGTTAAACAAGAATGGAAAGAGTGGACAGACTTGACGAACACCACTTGAGATAATCAATTCTGATGACAGTTCGCCATAAGCTCTCACTCGACCAGTTGTGTTCGAGTATTCATACGTCATATGTAGTGAAAGTTCCTGAAACTGTAACAAGGAAGGGAATTATGTTTTAAGTTCCTTCTAATTCATAACTTCTGAGATGTTCCAAACTAGGTTGCATCATATCTACAGCATTCGTTCACTTGTTCGCCAGTTAAAGTCATTCAATGATTGTAATATATGATGATGCTAAATATTTACCTAAATTGATAATGATTTGGATTATTCCGTTGTTGATATTTTGACTGAATTTAGATCAGTCTTAGTTGAGATATATGAATCTATGGTGGGTTACCTCGATAAAATCATAATAACATAAGTTTTTATAAAATAGGTGAGACGTGGTTTGTATTAGAGTCCATAACTCATGTTTCATCCTATTCGGGATTCATTAGATACTTATATCGCAGAGTTAATATTCACATTGGGATTCGAATTCAGTAACTTTCTTTTTATATGCCCAACGTGTTATTAGCTACTCAATTGTAAAATAGGTATGAATTTTAATTTAATTGGCAACTATTTGAATTACCTTATTTTTAATGTTTTGATTTAGTTTATACATTGGGTATTTGAAGAGAAAGATACTGGTTTGAATCTTTAGGTGAACACCGATTCAGATGCAGGCATATTCAACTGACAAGTCTTTAATAGGACTAAATGAATGTCATAAATCCCACTACCAACCATATTCTATCTATTTCATATTTATTCTAAACTTAAATCTTTATATAATGACGTAATTAGGAGCCAAATGTTATGGATTTATTTTTAATTTGAAAGCTATTACCATGTCAACAAAATGAAAAAAAAATTGTATAGCACAGGATGTTACTGTGCCTCATACACATAATAAACAACTAACTGACTTTATAGTCGTATCGTAAGTGGATATAAATGGTTATGTGAACTTATCCGACCTCTGGATGTGTAACTGTAACGTTATTGATTATATTTCATATATTCATATATAACGAACCATAACCTTTTTCCCATGTACATTTCACATATATATTTATGTGTGTAGTTGTTCCTATTCGTTTACAGATATTACTCGTTGCCTATGTTATATATATATATATATCGCTCAATTTCGTGGATTAGTTGGAGTTAGACATTAGTACCGTTGGGTGCCAGCTCAGTGGTCTAGTGGTTAAGTGCTAGCACGCGAAACCAGTAGGTCTTTGGTTCGAGTTTCGCAGCAAGCGAGGTCGTAGATGAGCACTGCGGAGGAGTCCCACAATAGGACGAAACGACCGTCTAGTGCTTCCAGGTTTTCAATGGTGGTCTAGCTTCAACTGACTCGTGATCTTGACCATTGTAATATATATATAAGTAGGAAAATAAATTTCTTTTAGTCGGTCGCTTGGAAATACCTCTCCAATCTGCATTTATTTCCTATCGTCTGTCTACCTTAACGTATGTATGAAATCTATGTTTCGAAAATACACTTTCGTAATCAATTTATTCCGTTAGCATTAATGATAGTTATTTGATGAATATATACGATGTTAAGTAAGGATCTATGCTCTTCATTGGTTATCATCTTATGATATTAGATAAACCGACAAATGGGTAAAGGAAACGAGAAATAGAGATTTCGTCTTGAACTAATTCTTTTCTCATAAAAAAACATTATTTGTCATACGGAGTGTTAAAGAGTAATTCAGTTTTAATGAATAGAATAACAGATTATCCAGTTTAGACTTATGGGAATTTTAAATTTAGTTGGTATAGTTTGTTTGAATCTTCCCATTGATGTTAATGTCTGTATATAGTGTTTTTGAATTAAGGCTATAACGAGGCAATACGCACAGGATGCATATATGCCAATAAGAGACTAATCAGTCTCAGTCCTAAGTATCAGCATCAAGTAAATTTAAGCTTTAATCCATTGCACAAACAAGTGGCTAACAGGGCTCAGTAACTAAGTGGATAAAACGACGGCTTTTGATGCGAATGGTACAGGGTTCGAGTCCCGGAGTGGAAATCAACTCTGAGATTCAGGTACATCCAACTGACGAGTCCTGAATAGGACGAAACGCGAGTCCTGGATTCCACTGCTAGACACTATCCATCTTTGCATATTATGGGAACTTTGATTAACTAATTGGTAAAATAAGATTACGAAAAATTATTTTTCAACAGTGTTGTATCATCTATCCACTTGCATTTAGTAACAACGATTGGTAAAGAAGTGAGTTGAAGCTTTAGGGTGAATAACTGATCTTCATGATGAATGATGCCCAACCAAATAAGGGTTCGATGACAGCCAACAAAGGGGCTTAAGTACAATGTATAAATAATATTTGGCTGTCGTCAGTATAGGTTACTTCGACAGACTGAATAGCTTAAATATTAAGCTAGTTAATAATAGATATATTTTTGTTATGCCTCAATGAGTAGAAAATTGTATTTTTTTATGACGTTTCGTCACTTAATGTAGGTCACTTCTTCAGAGTAAATATTTATTTACTCTCTACTAAACGCTTAATTTATTTGAAACTGTCAAGTTCAATTTTGCTATTGATGCCTAGTAAGTTAGTTAGTTTAGTGGCGAAAATTTTATCATTTTATTAACATCTTTCCAATAGTATTCAAGACAATCAGATGATCATCTTGAGAATAGTTCATTCTTAAAAGGATTAAGGAATGATGTGAAGCATTTATTGAGAATTAAATTGAACTAACGTAAAATTACACCGCAATATTAAGTGTAACAAGATTCTGATGGTTAAGATTATGAGTCAATTGAAGCTAGACCACCCTGAAAAATCTGGAAGCATTGGACGGCCATTTCATTCAAGAGGTATTTCCTGGAGTTCTAGTGAGAAGCAGTAACCAGTGAAGTTCAACTGGGTCTGTTGTAAGATGGTAACTCAATGAAGATAATTATGGATGGTGGCTCAATTTCGTGGATTGGTTCGATTTAGACATTAACACCATTGGATGCCGGCTCAACGGTCTAGAGGTTAAGGGTTCGCGTACGAGACGGAAAGATCCCGGGTTGGAATCTCGGGAGGCGGGATCGTGGATGTACACTGCTGAGGAGTCCCACAATAGGACGAAATGTCTGTCCAGTACTTCCAGGTTTTCTATGAAAGTCTAGCTTCAATTCACTTCTGATTTCAACAATTAAAATCACTATAATATTCACAAAACCCCTTCTAGAAAAAAGATTTACTTAGTTAAAAATTCACCGTACATGTGGATCCATTAATGTCTTTATGAGAGATAGAATAATGTGAAATAAAATGTTTATGAAAATTAACCATTTCCAATAAATTCCAAACTGTATCAACATGATTAGTGAAGGGTTTAACGTTTCGACTAAACTTATTTTCTTTTAAAGGAAAGATTAAGCTAACATCCTATTCATTAATAATATTAACTCAATTGATCTAAGAATGGAACACTAAAAATGAACCTCACTGGTTTGATCTTTACATTTGTTGATATGTTCCATGAAAATAGATACCAACCCTACCACCCCCCAACCCCCCACGATCCTGAAGAAAACTTATCAACATAGATCTTATTTATTTTATTTGTTCTATCAAAATGATTTTATGCATTTTTATATTACAGTGTAAAATTATAAAGGCTACTATGTTTTCTTCGATATGATAAATGAAGCCTATTTCATTATCTTTCAGTTAGGTCACATCTGTTGTAATGCTGTTAATCTCATAAAAACAATAACAACATATAAAATTACTTTACATTATATAACTTAGATGGGGTATTTCAATGAAATAGTTCTGTTTTGCTCAAAATTTTAAGTGTAACCCTATCGTGTATTAACATATATACATCTATAATGAGGTATAGCTTATACAGGTATATATTTATATATATCTGGCGATTATTATTAAGTTTGTTCAGTGAAACAAATGAACAAAATAACGTGATGTAATCTATTTATCATTGATTACACCAACGAAAATACTATTACTATTACTACTAACAATAATAACAATAAGTAGTAGTATTAGTAGTATAGTATTAGTAGTAGTAGTATTAGTATTAGTATTAGTATTAGTATTAGTATTAGTAGTAGTAGTAGTAGTAGTAGTAGTAGTAGTAGTAGTAGTAGTAGTAGTAGTAGTAGTAGTAGTAGTAGTAGTCAGAAACGATATTATTATACGGAAAAGAAATGCCATACAAACAGATGTGAATCCATAATTTGAAGAAGAAAAAATTGTTAGTAATTTATATGTATGACATAAAATTAAGGGGAAAGGGAAGAAGAAGAGGAAGAAGAAGAAATACTATTTCCACATTTATCATTAAGAAAGAAAGAAAGAACGAAAATTAGGTTAATATAATATAATTAAGGAAACAGACTAACTGTCATCTTAGAGATAACTATGACTGATAATCTTAACTATTGATTAGGATTAATGATTCAAGGTGACAAGAAACAATAATGTTGTTTTCTATTACATATGGGTAGATATACATATATATTTGGCTATCATGTGAACCAGAGATACATAATAGTTAAGAGTGTATTCTACCAAATTTCCAATTAGAGTTTTTGATCTTATTTAAAATGAAATTGATCAATCAATGATTGGATCATCGGAGATGGTTATTTATTTAGTTGTAATTGTATGTATCTTCTTATTGTTGATACTGTTGATTATATTAGATTGTTATGTATCCATAAATGATCTCTTTAGGTAGATAGATATCTTATGATTGTCTGTAACGACCAGACCATTATGTATCTTAGATAATAACTTTATGATTTTAGTTAATGAGCAATGATATTTTAGCTTTAGTCTAAAAGTCAATAAAAGTATAATCCAACTGATAGGTTGTATATGAAATGAAAATCTAATCTCTAGATTACGTTGCTTATCATTTAGAGAAAAACAAAACATTTGTCCAAGGAATTATCATTTACTCATCAATATTTAAGATTGATGAGTTATGAATCTTAGCTAAATTTAGTATCAGAAGAGGTTTTGTGAAGATTGTAGTAATTTCGACAGTTGAGATCATGAGTCAATTGAAGCTAGACCACTATGGAAAACCTGGAAGCACTGGATGGTCGTTTCGTCCTAATGTGGGACTCCTCAACAGTGTTTTGTGGAAATAAATTCAACTTATAGGTTGCATTTGTTACAAACTGATCTTCTTTGGGATACTATTGAATAATAGAGAGGTATTGGATAGCTATTTCATTCTTGTAATAAGATAACTTAGAAGTGTATATCGGAGACCCTGTATCAAAGGACAAACCCAGAACCCTCGCGGAATTCGAACCCAGGTTGGATGCGCACTGCTGAGGAGTCTCACAATAGGACGAAACGACCATCCAGTGCTTCCAGGTTTTCCATAGTGGTCTAGCTTCAATTGACTCATGATCTCAACTGTCGAAATTAGCTAAATTTGAAATTGAAAACATACAGTCAGAGTCAAAAAGCTTGTAACTATAAATTCCTTTGGTATTGAATACTTGAATCTTCTCATTGATGTTTAGGACTACAATTGATCAGTCTCTTATTAGTATATATGCATCCTCAATATTGCCTTAATTCACAAGGATTATAAGCAAAGATGAATGGTGACTGGAAGTGTAATTCAGGACGTACGTTTCGTCCTATTTGGGACTCGTCTGCTGGATAAGCCTATATCTCAAAGTTCATCTTTATTCTGGGACTCAAACCCAGTATCGTTCGCTTCAAACAACATCACGTTATCCACTTAGCTACTGAGTCCTGATAACGACTTGTCTTTGTAATGTGGTAAAGTTTAAATTCACTTGATATTGTTTACTTGAATCTTCTAATTGATCTTTAGGACTGCAATTGATTAGTCTCTTATTGACATATGTGCATACTGTGTACATTACCTGAATTCATAAGCATTTGTAAGTATAAAGTTGTCATAGACTTTGAATACACTATAGATATACTTTGTAAGTAATTCAAAAACCCATAGATATATATATTCAGTTCAAATATAAAAACTATGGTAACATATTTCACCTAAATTTATGACATAAAGTCTTAGTTTCCTTTGTAAACCAGTTACCATAAATATTGATCAACAGATTGTTAATATTATATGACGTAAAATTATATTCAACAAAGTATTTTATTGAAAGATTCCATTAGTCTTTCTTAACTATCTATTCATTCTTCTCATTTGTTTCGTCAGATTTTGTCAAACTTTATTATTACTTATTATTATTATTATTATAAACATGGATATGAACGTAAGAGTATGTAATTTTTCATTACTGAAAAAAAGTAATACTACAATAGATTGAATGATCTCATTAAGTGTTTATAATAGAAGATATTAGATTAGAACATCAATTCTGTAATTGGAATTTATTCAACTGATGAGTCTGAAATAAGACGAAACACATATTCTATATTCAATTACTAAGCATTGTTAAACACAAAGAAAAGTAACCATATTTTCTGATACATTCTATATGCATATTATTTAAGTGAATTCAAATTCATTTTATAATAATGATAAATGTGTCCGACAAACACACGCTGTGATTACGTCAAAACTGGACGTAGAAATGGTAGTAAAAGAAGGAAATTAATCAAAAAGAAAGCACAACTAGTGAATTCGTATATAGTTCCTATACATGTATACATGAATATGCATGAAATTTTCTTAGTATTCATTTATGCACTACCAAATTGTCCAAGTATATTCTGAATAAACATTTATGTATATATATATGTAATAATTATAATTTACCAGCTAATGATCTAAGAATGATTGACATGTAGACATTCCATTATATATATAAACATGTATACATATTATTAGGGTATATCATGCATAGTTACTATGCAAAAAGAGTACAGACAAATTTTATATTTTGTCTCTTCTTTTCTTTTTTTCCCTTTTTTTGTTTTTGTTACCATCTACTTTTGGGATATACATGTTAATAAGTTTGTTTGTTTGTTTTTGTTTCTTCTTCATAGAATTAAACAAGAATTTATTGGTAAATGTTGTTGTTACCTCTCTTTTTTTGGGGGGGGGAGGGGTTGTTCTAACTGTATAGAATAATGGAAAAAAGAGATTTATAATGCGATTTTTTTATTTTTAAAGTTTATTAAAGATTAATTGGAATTGTAATGTTACATAATCATATTAATGATAAGCATATGCAATCGATAAGTATTGATTATTTTTTTTTAGTGTTATAATGATGATGTTCTGTTTGTGTTTTATTTTTTTTCTTTAATTCATGTACACACTTACATATACACTCACTTGCACACACATATATCAAGGTAATGTACAATTTGACCCCAAATACCCTAGTACGGCCGAGAGTAGAGAGAGTCAGCGCTCCCTCTCAAAATGCTCTCACATGGCCATGTGTATACAACCACTGATAGGGAAATCCTACTCACTACATTCTAGCGGTGGGGTTGTGGTATACGAAATTGAGAGGACGAAAAGACAATGTCCGGCGCTTTGACCGGGTTAGTGGAAACAGAGGGTTCACCTTGGGGAGTTGAAAAACCCTGATTCCAAATGAATGTTGTACATAGGGTTTAGTATCCTGAGAGAACAAATGGTGTATGAACCAATCGTTGGTCATCGGCTACCATGAGACTGCATCTCCTAGCGTTGCTCCACTATATTGTGGATTAGATCCCTAGGTCAAAGGCTTGGGGTGTGGCCCCCTAAGAAAACCACCTGCTTCGGTTTGGGCACCCAGACAGTCTCCCAGCCCTCACACAAATCGAATGATTTGTGTGGTGCATATATATCTTGTGTTTCCTTGTACCAATGTTTACATGTTTAAATAAACAAATAATGTACAATTTCATGGATTCATGAGTACTTAGTGGAAATTCCAATTTTGACATTTGGTAAATAAAGAAGGAATGAATTGAGCCAAGAAATTTCTTTCCAATTAGTTTTTCATCATGGCTCTACACTAATATATATACATGATTTACAATAATGATGTAAAATACTCATCGAGTGGATAGGTTACGTAATAATTACATAGTGACATTAAAATCAGTGAGGCGATGACAAGTGTAGACACCGTAGAAGAAAAATGAATGGGAACAAAATAAATGAATGTATATCAAATAAATACATAATAAAGTACAGTGTTAGTAACAGGATATCTCATTCATAATAACACGGTTTTCTTCATCAAAGTGACGTAAAAAATCCCAGAATGAATAAGCTAGTGCTAAAGAGGAAAAATTATCATATTTCAGGGAACTAATGATTCCGAAAGTCAATAAAACTTGTGCTTAACATTTATCATAAAACTTTAAATCATATTTTTTTCCTTGATTAAGCTTTCTATTTGTCAGTTTAGGTGATGTGGAGATTGTTAAGTTTTTGATTGAAATCATGAGTCAAGTGAAGCTAAACCACCATTGAAAGCCAGGAAGCACGAGACGGCCGTTTCGTCTTAGTATGGTACTCCTCAACAGTGCGCGTCCACGATCCGGCACCCCGCCGACCGGCATCCAATGGTGTTAATGTCTAACCTCAACCAATCCACGAAATCGTGCGACCATCTTCCATTGTAATGAGGTAGACACCTGTTCCTACCCAACACGGATTAGCTCCACTGGTCACGGGGTGCGGGATTGTGGATGCGCACCACTGAGGAGTCCCATACTAGGATGAAACGGCCGTCCAGTGCTTCCAGGTTATCTATTGGTACTATATAATGTTAAAAGCTAAAATATCATAGGACATCAGGAAGTAATCAATAACAGGTTCTTCCTGATGTAGGACTCCTCCACAGTGATAATTTAAGATTCCCAGTAGTAGGACGACATTGATCAATATTTTCATTCCTGAGAATGTTATTCTATAACTAAACACTGATGTAATAACATGTAGTTAAGTGTACCAATGTTTTTGATGTACAAATTCAAGTTGTGAAGTGTTCATCTGTTACATTTTATTTCTTTATTTTTAACTTTATAGTTTTGAAAAGGAAAATTTCAAATATTTTTAAGAAAAAATATAAGCGATTTGGAATGATTGTTGTATTTCATAGGTCACGTCTTAAACTTACCTTAGTTCGACAATTGTTGATTATCATGAAGGAATGAAAAGTTGGTTTTTTCTTGTATGGGATTTATTAGAAGTGTACAACCTTGATTATAGTGGAGATCTATTGAGGACTTTCAGGTTTTACAGTGAGCATTTAACCTTTAAACCATCAAGTCACCATCCAGTAGAATACTCAGTTTCCACTTTTGTAATAAAATAACACTAGAAATTCATTTGATTTTTCTCTGTAAATATTCATAATAGTCAAAAGCATAAGTGACGTTTATGATTTTAAAATTGTCTCTAAGCTAATAGACGTAAATATCAGAATGTGAGTAAGTAATTCTAGTCAAATGATTTATGTATCTAGTTATATATATGATGGAATATGGTGGATAACCTTAAAAGATTTATTCAGTTCAACTTGATGATCTGTGTCAACTAAGTGAGCGAGAATAGAACTTTTAATCACTTTTACCAGTCCTTTGCTCAACAATGACGGATGGTGCTCTGTAATACGATGACGAACTTTTCGAATTGTACGCCCTATATAACTGGCTCCACAGAAGCAGTTCAATCGATAAATACACATGGATTTGGTGAATTCAGGCAGTCTGTCTTTATTGGCCGTTGTTATTTTGGGGTGGTTGTAGAAGATGGCACTCAGTTTGTCTGAATTAAATGTTTTATATACCGGCTTTCTTAATCTCTGAGTCACCATTTCTTCAGTAGTATCATTTAGAAACTGATGGACACAGGTCATCAAGTTGAATTGAATAAAGCTTTTAAAGTTAACCACCATATTCCACCAAATTTGCCACATGGTTTACAAGTGCGTGTTTTGCATATATATACTCTGATATTATGGAACTAAGTTATATACATTTGATTAAAGTGACTATTTTAAACATATTATTTAACTGTTTATATTGGAGTGATGATGCTAATAATGCTAAGTCAGTTCTAACCGTTATTCAAAGAAGAACATTGACTATATTTTGAACAGGTATTACTCAGTCTCATGGTTATAGAGATAATTACTGTCATGTTTAAAGCGGTTACAAGTTCACCTAATCTGAGAACGGAACGAAGACTCTGTGACACCATAACAGATAAGCTAGCTATTTTAACGCGTACCATTTCCGTTAACTAGAGAGAGAGAAGTCTAAGTTCGGGATAGGGAAATATATTCCACAACCAGTCAGAAGCACAAGCAATCACAACAGGCACAAATCAAACGTATATATGTACAGCATAAAATTATCCTTGGGAGGCGTTACAAAATAGCATACTAAAAGACACAACGAACTAATAGTGTTTAAGATCCTCCCAAATAGGAAATACAACATGAAGGTAAAAATGAGCGCTTTTAGCCCGAAAACAAGAAATTCAAAATTTTAAAATAAAATTACAAAAATAAGGTATCTACCAAGTGAGTTCTGGGGATCAAACATCCCCAACAATTACATTCCAAGTTATTAAATCAATAATGATCTGAATTACATTATTTGAACATTTTAAAACTAGAAAATGATTAAGTGAGCTAAGATTGTAAGTAGAACTACAAAGAACTCTTCGAGTGTTAGATATTTCTCTATCTCCCTCTCTTTATGTCTGGGTTTTACTCGTTTGTTTGTTTTTTTTTCTACTGAAGGTTGTATGATGTAATTAAAAGTATCCTCAAGACTATCTAAAAAAGAAAATGCTTATTCGCCTATGCTTAGCTATTGGTGTGATAACTATTATGATATAAATAAATCTAACATAAAATTAGTGTCTATGGAAAAATCATTAAACCGTAAACGAAATGTTCCATATTGAATTTTTACACTTATCAGTGATGTTTAAAAGTTTAAAGAGCTATTCACAATGTAACTATTCAGTCATGCATTAAAAAAATGGATAGATACCTAGTGGTGATATTAAATATTGGTTGTACAATACTGACAAATTAATTTCAGTATACGATTATGGAGATTATTAAATTTTTGATTAAGATCATGAATCGATTGATGTTAGACCACCATTGAAAACCTGGAGACAGTGGACGGCCATTTCGTCCTGTTGTGGGACTCCTCACCAGTGAGTATCCACGATCCCGTCCCACTTTTGTAATAGCGAGCAACTTACTCAAATCGAAAGCTTTCTTTTTCAATGCTTTACTGGCGATTTAATTGACAATCAAAAATTAAATATTGAAGTTAGACATTAACACTGTTGCATGCCGACTCAATGATCTAGAAGTTAAGCGTTCATGCGCGAGATTGAAGGCCTTGGGTTCGAATTTTGCCTGTGGGATCGTAGATACGCGCTGTTGAGGAGTCCCACAATAAGACGAAACAGTGGTCCAGTGCTTCCAGGTTTACAATGGTGGTCTAACATCAATCGATTAATGATCTCAAACAAAAATTAATTTCAATCGAAGAGTTACATCATCAGTTGCTTATCAAACGACTAAATAACTAAATCCTAGCCGCCAAAAATTGAATATCCTCTTTTAGATCATACGTCTAACACAGGGAATTCCATTTTGAGATGAAACTATTGTTTATTTTTGAGTAGTTTGTAGTAGTCTTAAGATTAATCTCAGTTTATAGTTAAAAATCCCTTCCACTCAACTAAACTATTGCAAATCACTTGATAACATATACGTTTCATTGCCGATAGACAGTAATGTATAAAAGCCATTATCTAAAACTATGAACAATACAAATATATATGAACATATATGGATCATATTGTAATCAAACATTGTTGAAATAGACCATATTTAGGATTTTTATTCAGCATATGAATTCACTTTGAATAGTTTGTTTTTTCCAATCGATCAGTCAGTAATTCAGTAAAATATGAACAAATATACATCTGTTCATGTTATCAAGATTTATATCAACACAGTGGGGAAGAAAATTAACAGGATAAAAATCAAAAGAATATCCATAGGTGAAAACTAAACATAAAGAATATCTAGAATTATTGAGCCGATGTTGTTGAACTAGTCAGACTCGCAAATGTGATTTCAATGTCATGGTGCATCAATAAAAAAAGTATATGGTTATTGCTTGTCAGAATCTTATCATCGCTATATGGTTGTGGAGATTATTAAATTATTGATTAAGATCTTGAACCGATTGATGTTAAACACCATTCAAAACTTGGAAGCACTGGGCGGCCTTCTCATCCTATTGTGGGACTCCTCAGTAGAGCGCACCCACTATCCCACTCGCGTGATTCGGACTCACGGCCTTTAGCCCCACACGTGAACGCTTAACCTCTAGACCACTGAGTCGGCATCCAACGGTGTAGAGACAGGTATTTACTTCAATACAGTGGAGGACGGCCGCGCGATTTTGTGGATTGGTTGAAGTTAGACATTAACACCGTTGGGTGCTGGTCGGCTCAGTGGTCTAGAGATTAGGCGTTCGAGCGCGAGACTGAAGGACCTGGGTTTGAGTCCCACGGGCGGAGTCATTAATGAGCGCTAATGAGGAGTCCCACAACAGAACGAAACGGTCGTCTAGTGCTTTCTGGCTTTCAATGGTGGTTATCATCAATTAGTTTTTGGATCTTAATCAAGTATCTGATTAGTTTCATTGTTGATATCGAAATTAAATCTTATCATGAAATGATTGCTCACAGATTTCATTGAGTATAACTGATATGGGAAGATCATAGTAACTGAATTCAACTATACTCACGTAATGGTTTCCAGGAGAGAATGATTTGAAATCGTACAAATCAGTTCCTACACAGAAAACAATTACATTTTATAATGCGAGAATTCACAATGAACCATAAAAGCTTTATTTATCTTGTAAAAAGTGTATATGATGCTTAACTTTATTCCTTACCAACTTGACCTGTTTTTACTGAGTAGTAATGAGGTTAGAATTTATCTGTGTTATCATAACAATCATTTGTGTTTGTGTTTATCAATTAAGTTTAACTTACAGTTTAACAGAAACAAATGTAATTGAGGAATCGAATGTATAGACTAACATTAAAATTCAATATTTGTGGGAATATACAGAATTAATACATCTGTGTTATTATCACTACCTATGAGCCATGTTATCCAGTCTCTGATCAAAGATTATTATAAATAACTTGAGATTCTTTATCAAGAAGTTCACACCTACAACTGTAACCCAGTCCTTACCATGAAATATCATTGTTCATGCTTGCCTTTTTGTTGATGAGGAATTTTATAATTGTGGCTGTGGTGAAGGGTATCTATCCACTAAACAAACTTCATTTATTATAGGCAAAGATTGATGGCCGTTATTAGTGAAATTCAGGACGAACGTTTCGTCCTATTTGAGACTCATCATGGGGCGTACATGCATTCCAAAGTTGATGTTCACTCCGGGACTCCAACCCAGTGCCATTCTCTTCAAACGCTATCGTGTTATCCTGAGTAACTAAGTCATGATAACCACTGGAAACTAATCAGTTTCAGTCCTAAACATCAATGGAAAGATTTAAACAAACAACACAAAATGAATTAAGACTTTAGTTGGTAAAAATGGAATTGGATTCTTCAGGATAGCCAGTTCCCATTTTCACATTTTTATTTATTCATGTTTCCAGTATTTACTACTTTTTCCTTGTTAAGTACTATCATTTACCCAGTATCATATTTTTTTCATATTTTACTTTATTAGGTTATATGAAGATCAATCACTAAATTTACTAGTACTAATTATCATCAATATATCTCTAATGGAAATAATGCAAATTACTTGAAATATTCAACTGATGGTAAGTAAATGAATAGTTTATTTTATTAGATTTGAGTAGATTCACTTTGAATGTTTCATGCCAGATGTACAACTGTTAAATAACATAACTGAACTGATACACAGCGCCAGGCATGAACACTATATATATGCCAACTAGTCAGCGAGAATTTAAAAAATATTCAGTGATAATAGTCATGGTCTAATATTTTAATCTAAGATCATTTTAAACTGATTATTTAGTGTGTAGTGGTTAGCAGTGGAATCCAGGACACGCGTCTTGTCCTATGTGGGACTCGTCAGCTGGATGTATCCGCATCTCAGGGTTGATGTTGTCTCCAGGACTCGGACCCAGTACCGTTCGCTGCAAACGCCATCGCATTGGGAAGATACAAGTAAACACAACATCAAGTGAATTAAAACTTTACCATATTGCAAAAAGCAAGTGGCTATCAGGACTCAGTAGCTAAGTGGATAACGTGATGGTGTTTGAAACGAACGATACTGGGTTCGAGTCCCGGAGTGAACACCAACTCTGGGATGCAGGTACATCCAGCCAACGAGTTTGAAATTGGATAAAACGCATGTCCTGGATCCCACTGCTAGCCATTATCCATCTTTGCTTATAGTGCTTGTGACTTAAGGCTATATCGAGGCAATCCGCATAGGATGCACATATGTTAATATGAGACTGATCAATTGCAGTCCTAAATAACAATAAGAAGATACATGTAAAACAACGCCAAGTGAATTTGGTTATTTGTTGTGTTTCAGTAAAAAATATTTTGGTGGAATTTTGTTCTCTGAGCTGAAGTTTGTGTTGATGATGTCGTTCAGAAGAACGATGAAAGTTGAACTACCAAACCATCTAGCTCAGAGAAAAAACTCCACCAAAATCATCCACTTGTGCTACGAATCTTCTCCACCATCTGGAAATCATATAAGCGTAGTAAGCTTATCGTTGTTCGAAAATGGGAGAATTGCACCAAAAAGCAGGCTTCCCTTCGAGAACAACTGTATTTTCTCCACGAGTGTCTTTGTCAGCATGGTCTACCAACAAGTGTAAGATACAGAATAGCCGAGCACAGTGAAAGAAAAAATATATTTGTTAAGATGGTTTATTAAACATCAAACGGTTTTAAAATTACATCAACTTAAACATAATTAAAAGCATGGTCGAACCTATGACCTTCAAACTTCATAACGAGTATGATATCAATGAATGCAACTTAATCCAGGATTACAAAATCATACAGTTGAAGAATCTTAAACACATTTGAAAGTGTTGATTATTGCTTGCCAGTAGTATCCTAAAACTAGACTGATCAAAATAAGTCACTACTCTAGAAATAGATTTTAATATCGATAAATTGATAATTGTGATTACATCTCAATCCTACAGGAGGTCGGTCGCGGTTCGGATAGCTCAGTGGTAATGTCTCTGATTGTGAATCTGGGTGACACGGGATAGAATCCATCAGGGTACATCAGTTCTCTCAAGATTACAGGTACACCTTGCTGACGAGTGCCAAGTAGCACGAAACCCGGGTCCAGGGTTTCCTGTTGACTACCTCCAACCACCGTCTAATCTAAACATAGTTCACGCAATGTCGAGTCACCTAGACTAGTGGCCACATTGCAACTTGGTCGATAGCATTCGATCTACACTAAGCAGAACTTGATACACATGACATCGATCACCACCCAGTGATCAATGAATTGTGAGATTTTCATAGTACTGTAATGAACAAGAACACATAAATGGGGAAAACTGAATGTATTTGAATATAAAATTACAGAATCATTTCATAAAATCTGAGAATCATACAATTAATACTTTATATATAAAATGTCAATCCATTGTTCTTTGGTTTCCACATTAATCATTCATTATTCTCGTTCTGTTTTATTTAATCATCTTAACCTTCTACGATCAAGTAGTTTACTTTCGATTGATGATACATACTACTTATATCTATCGACATTAGTAGCACACACTACAATACCTTTGAAATTAACGACTATATATACATATATGACACATATATAATGTTATGCAACTACTACTCTGGCACAAATAACAATCTCTTAAGAACCTTTACACCTATAAAAGTGATATACATATATACAAGTGTTATCTGTGAACCATTATTGTTTTGTCAATTAATTAGGTTAGAACATTGAATGTATAAATCCATATCATCTATCTATATATATATATATTTTTTTTTTTTCTAAACATTTCTTAGTACTATGTCTTGAATGGAATAAATTTTCACACTTTCTGAATAGTTATCTTTATATGAATTCAATTGAAAAATTATCAAAATATAAAACTTTTATAATCTACGATGAATCAATTAGTTAAATAGTTTCTCAAATGGAGGCACAATGGAATTGACAACAACAACAAAACATAACCCAATAAAATCAATAATTTTTTGATCTTAACAATACTTGAATAAGTCTTATTAGTATCATCACCATTATTATTATTATTATTATTATTATTATTATTATTATTATTATTATTATTATTATTATTATTATTAGTAGTAGTAGTAGTAGTAGTAGTAGTAGTAGTAGTATTGATTTAAGGTGGCTTGACCAATGTACATGAGATAGATGAGTTAATACTGATCACAGTACATATGATAAAGTATGTTTCTGAGTGAAACTCCACTTTTTATTCTTATATATATATACCATATATACCATATATACCATATATATCACTATTGATATATCGATTAGTACTATTAGTCTAGGTCATTAAATGTTGTCCAAAGTTTTTGATGAGTATTTAATTCATTCTATAATAAACTGTATAAATATTCACTAAGTGATTCGATATATCTACTTAATAAGAATAAGAGTAATATTATCAATATTGAAATGTTTCATTCTAATAATTCTAATAATTTATCATTATATCATTTATCATTAATGGTAAGTTGATTATATTGATATATCTAATAAAAGAATTGATATTGGATCATTTATTTGATCTTTTGTTTTGTTTTGTTTTTCTTGTAAACATTTCATTTTAGACTTCATCTTCTATCATTTGTGAATCATTCAATTCAGATATTCAATATTCTGAATTGACTCCAATTGATTTAAATACTACGAATACAATTACAACATCATCTAATATCATAGATCCTATTACTACTACTACTACTCTAATTCCTCCTCCTCCTCCTCCTGCTACTACTACTACTACTACTACTACTACTACTACTACTACTACTACTACTACTACTACTACTGTTACAAATGATATAGAAAGTAGTATAATTCATGAAAATAACAATTTCCCTGTACGTTGTAAATCATTAGAAATAAAATCAACAGAAAAATCTTTAATAAATTCTACTTCAAAGAAACGTCATCGTAGTACTGTTGAAAATCAATGGAATCATTCAAATTCAATGAATACTTTAACAAATTTAAAATATCATCATACAAAAAATAATTTATGTTTATCATTGAATGGAGAACAAAAACATCAAGAAGAATGTATTATAGATGTAAAGAAACGAAAAACTGTGGATGATAATGTAAGTAGTTTTTTTTTCTGATTAAAATTAATATTGAATTGGTTGAAGTTAAATATTAACACTGTTGAATATCGACTAGTTCAGTGGTCTAGTGGTTAAGCGCTTATATGTGAGACTGATAGGTCCTAGGTTTGAATCTCGTGAGGCTGGATCGTGGATACGCGTTACTGAGGAGTCCTCATTGTAGGGCGAAACGGCTGTTCAGTGCTTCCAGACTTTCCATGGTGTGGTCTAACTTCAATTGACTCATGAATTCAACAATTAAATATTACTATTATTATTATTATTATTAGGGTGTACAAAGTTGATTATAATCAATAATATCGTAGATCAGATAAATTAATTTTCTAATTTAGAAAAGACGTAATGAAATTAGAACATCTCAATAGTGGTACAATCATAGATTTGTTTTTATCAGATTCTACTTATAAAAGCTTAACAGAGATATATTAGTTTTTAATAAGTAGGCTATTTGATCTAACTCTGATCAAAACAACCATATATATGTACACAAATGGTGTTTAGAATCTAATGGACAACTGAATTTCCATAGAATTCGAGTTATTGACAGTGAAAGAAATCAATTAATAAATCTTAATCATTTGATATAATTTAACTGGATCTTGTTAAGAGACTAATATCACCTAGTTCAGTTAGTTGAATAGTTTTCATTCGGATGATAGTTTTTGGTCAAACACTGTAGAACCAGTGAAATGTCACTGAGCCCTAGTCAAATCATCATGCAGTTGGGTCACTGAATATCGAACAGTTTACCGATCATCCCAGTCTAGGTCAGGGACAACCAACGCGCATCAGTTAATTGTACGTCACGGACTGGCCCATGAGGTGGTGATCACGCTTTTGCCTGTACCTAATTTAACTAATATATTTCTATGGTTAAGATCATGAGTCAGTTGAAGCTAGGCCACCATGGATTAGTTGAAGTTGGACATTAACACCATCCGATGCCGGCTCAGTGGTCTAGTGGTTAGGTGTTCAACCGCAAAACCAGTAGGGTCCCGGGTTCGAATCCCGCGGGGGGCAAGGTCATGGACGCGCACTGCTGAGTCCCATAATAGGACGGAACGGCCGTCCAGTACTCTCGGGTTTTCCATGGTGGTTTAGCTTCAACTGACTCATGATCTTAACCATTGAAATTACTATAGTATCCACAAAACCCATCTCATATTCATATATTTCTGTAATAACTTCCTTTGTATTGTATGGTTTTGAAAGCATCCATATTACCTTGGTATGATGAAGGGATAATCCACATTGGGTGCTGACCACGAAGTGTGACTTGATGTTGGTTGAATTCTAGTGATCAGTTTAGCAATGCTGATCGCTTAATCTAGTAGCTATATTGCAACTTAATAGATAGAATCTAACCAGTACTAAAGAATACGACATTTGTTATTACTTAGTGACCACCTTAGGGCGACGCTAGACTGACCGTGAGAGTGTTCACCTAATAACTAGGACCAGTGTGAGGAATAAGAATTATGATTTACAGTTGATGGTTAGACTTGGGAATTAGATTTAGAGTTTTTAACACGAACTGACATAAGCTATAATGCCAAAACTCTATTTAACCAAATGGATGAGTGAATTTCACGCTGAAATCCGAGACCTGTTATCTTATACCTGATTATAGTCCTACCTTTTAAATCATGTAATTTCAAATTAAAATCAATGAAATGATCATTAAAATTGTTGATCGGTATTCTAGTTCTACTTTTCTTTTCATTCATTTTTTCTCTACGTAATTATTAGATGCTTCAAGTTGGTTCAATGATTCCTGAACCATCAGCAGTTTATAATTATACTACTAATAAAACATATGAATATGATGAATTAATTCATGATTATCCAAAATTTAAATCTTTTAATCAACAAGTAAATATGAATAGAACATATTCACATTGGATGAACTCATATGAACAGTTTGAAAATAATAAAGAAGAACTGACAAATGAACTACCTACAAATCGTATACAATTTAAACAATCGATTAAAAAAGGCTCCACTCGTGAGAATATACCAAACAAATTGACGAATAATGGTAATTGGAACACTTTCAATGATACAATGAATGTTAATCATCATAAAGATGAAATAGATAATGAATTATCATCTGCATCGGAGCTTACAACTGCTGCGTATAATGTTAGTTAATGAATTCATTAATGAAGATTATTTTATTATATAATTTGAAAAGGATTTTTATTATTGACTGACATAGTATTGGGTTCACTGTGCGATCTTGAAAATCTTGAGGGTTGAGTTTGTGTTTGAAGTACGCAAGTGTCTCGTAGTTAATAGATATCAAACACAGATAAAATGGATATGTTCAATTTTTGATTAAGATCATGAACCGATTGGTGTTAAACTACCATTTAAAGCCTGGAAGCACTGGACGGCTGTTTCGTCCTATCGTAGGACTCTTCGGGAGTGCATATCCACGACCTCACTGGCGGGACTCGGACCCAGGACTTCCAGTCTCGCGATCGGTATCTTGCACACACACTGCTGAGGAGTCCCACGAGAGGATGAAACAGCCGTCCAGTGCTTCCAGGCTTTAAATGGTAGTTTAACACCAATCGGTTCATGATCTTAATCAAAAACGTATTAATCTCCACAACCCTATACAGATATGTTCAAGTCTGATTTTTAATAATTTGAAGTTGAAATTAATTAATTTCAAGTGATGTGCTTAAAATTTAAATTTAATGTTTCTATCATTGTCTTTCAACTATCGATATTCTACGAAAGAAATCAGGACTTGTCATAATGTTGATGGAGTTTTGTTCTTTGAGCTGGATGGTTTGTCGTGGAGTTTTCGTCGTTCTTGTGAACGACATCATCAGCACAAGACTTCTACTTGTCATAATGATTCTAAAAAAATATGTTGATCCTTGAAGAACAGAAATCATCGGTTTTTTCAGTTAATGCACTTATTTTAATAGTTGAATTCATAAGTCGGTTGAACTTAGACCACCATTGAAATCCTAGAACCACTGGACGACCGCTTTCTGCCGGATCATAAATGTAAACTTCTGAGGATTCTCATATTAAGACAAAATGGCCGTCTAGTGCTCCCAAGTTTTCAATGGTGTTCTAATTTAGATCGATTCATGAATTCAACTATTAAATTTACTAAAGTCTCCACAAATCCCCATTCTGATAACACGTATATATTTATGGAAGTTTAGTGAAACTATTATCTCGTACAATTCAATTGTTATTTTAAAAGAATTCTAGTATCATTATCACTAATCAAGTCAAGTGAAACACAATCAGTCAGTTTGGAAATGTTTGAATAATTAAACAACTGATACTGTTCTTAAATTCTCTTTGATTGAATCGATATGAAGATCAATTAAAGAACCGTTGGGCGTCAGTGATATAGAACGGAAGATACTCATATTCGTTGCGCTTAAACTTTCAGGCCAGAGTTTAGTGCTTTTTACATATCAATTCGAGTCGATTCATACTATCGAGTAATTATACTCTGTATATCTTGTGTGTTAATGGTTAGTTATAGGTAATTTCACTATATGATAGAAACTAACTTCATATGATTGATTTAATTATCTTCCTAATGCTTAAATTTTTGAGAAATACTTCATGGTTCTTAACTGATTGTGAATGACTAATTCGAACATTCCATCCTAGACTATTAAATAAATATAAATGCTAGTCTTTATTTGAATAAATCAGTTTTGATTCAGTATTCACCAAATTCAGTATTGGTCTCCAAGCAGTATCATGAAGTTCCGTGTTAAAATTAGGCTTTAATTCAATTACACGAAAACATTCTTGATTAATAAGCTGTCCACGTATGTAGTTCAATATAAACTTGTTTTCATATTATTCTTCATTTCTATGAGAAGCTATGACTTTTGATTATATTTTCATGTATTTCATGTAATAAATTGTAACGCATAATACAGAGGACTAAGATCAGTCAGTCAGTCAGCTACAACGTAGGATCAGGCACATATGTGCATCGGTCCAAGTTGCCACACCTAACTAGCATAACATGATGGACACCAAATTCATAGAAACTACTTCAATGGTAGTCATTTATAGAAGAAAGATTGTATATAAGGATATAGTATAGGAAGAAAGAATTAGTTGGTAGAAAGAAAGGTAGAAAGCAATTTTAATCTCTTAGTTTAAAGTAAGTTAAAGAATGGATACACCGACGCCATTGTGATCGATTCTGAGCCATATCACCCACAGTCTTCAACCATTGGTTACGATAGTCACGCGGACCCCAACCAAGTAGATTGCATCTACCAACATGGCCAGAAGACTAGAAGTCAGTGATTTCAAGGACTGATGCCACGTTTTGGTTTGCCCGCCCCTAACTTTCTTCCAACCATCCTTAACACTAGTCAGTATTGCGTGTCATGGTAATCGGTGTTCAGGCATACGTAACACGTGGCCCAATCATCTCAGACGATGTAGATTTACAGCCTCATCAACTGACTTACCATAATTCCCTAACACCCTTTGTCTAACTTCACTAATACTTATACGGTTTGCAGTCATAAAGCAGAACAGAACGAACTGCCACGCAGTATACTCGTCTTTTTATTGATAGACGGATATCTGGCCTTCGCCATAAGTGACGTAAGTTGGCAAAGGCCAAACGAGCTTTTGGGATCTGTGCTGAGATCTCATCAGACACCAATCTATTGGGACAGAGGACTAAGATGCTCTCATGGTGGAAAACGTCTGTCGGACAATGAGACTAAATCTCATGTCTATTGAGTTAATTAGTTTTGAACATGCATCTAAGTGTATGTACGAGATCAAATGCCACACTACAATATCTCTGTACTATGAGGAAATTTTGTACACAGTGATCTCCATCTTTACCCTCAGTGTTTTTTATTTTACATCATAGTAATTAAGAGTCAAAATAGTAATAAAAAAAGATGATTCACGGGATGTTTGTTGAAGTACCCGGTTTTAATGGAACCCTCTACGTAACAACTGACGACAAACAGAGATAGTCCCTAATATAGTACTCAATGTTTAAATGATTATTGGAGTTTATTAGTCAATATATAAATTGTCACTACTCAAGTACTGTATAGTGCTAAGAATCATTTGAGACAAGAAGGTCGTTTAAAAATGTAAGTAAGTTTTACATTATGTCAGTCAGTCAGCTACAACGTAGGACCAGGCACATATATGCATTATGTAGTATTTACTGAATGTTGTTTTTGTTCACGTATGTATATTACATTGTTACTGACATTGTACAGAATGGGCTTCATTTAATTACGAAGTATACACAACTAGCATTTAACATTAAACATACATTTCAAATGTAAAAATTCTTCATTAATAATCTTTATAACTTCTTTTTTCCACAATAGAATTTTGTACGTCGTGTCGTTGATGATACATTGGATCGTACAGTGACATTTTGTGAACAACCACGACATGCTATAACAGCTTTAGAAAATATTTGTACAAGAGCATGGCCTCAATTAGAAGTGAAACGTCATCGTAATCGAATACGTGCCTATCTTAAGGCATGTAGACGTAATTCCAAAAAGAATAAAGGTCAAATCAATATGAAAGAACCACCTGCAAATGGTTTGTCAATTGAAGCTCGACAGCTTGTATCAAAAGCGTTAACTTTAGTAGCTGGAGATTTAGACTACTTAAGACAAGTGGGTAATTGATTTATTGGAAGTTAATTAGTATTGGTGTAATTTTTATGAATTAAAACTAAACACTATAGTCATACCCCTTACTGCGATATTGCGTAATACTAGTTTAAAATTAATAATCGCTGACAACTTTTGTTGATGAGTACAAAAATTAAGTTATACAAAACTGTCAGATTAACAAACGAACATTTACCCTGCTAGAGGGTGAACAAACCAGTGCTGAGGGACTGTTTAAAGTTCTATGTGTAAGCATTATAAAAATGACAAAGAGCCGTGTAAAAAAGTCTTTATATGATATTTAGATTGTTGGATATTGATTTGAAAAGTTCTGTAGTGCAATCATTGTGAAAACGATTAAAGTGGCTTGTAGGTTCAGTCAAGTTCATTTATATAGCGACAAAACTAATAAGGTGTGTACTATTTAATTATGATAAAAAGTTGTCAAGTGAAGTCATGTAGTTTAGGTCAGTAATAAACCCTAGTTAGATAACACAGTATAGTCGTTTCGTTCAATTCCTCAACAGTATGTATCAAAAAACTCACTGAGGACCGCACAGTCAACGTTTAGGTATCGCGGTGGGAGTTTAGACACTAGATCTCTGATCAACGATCCAATGGTTTAAGTGTCTAGCTTCAATCAATTTGCTATATTTAACAACCATGTTTCTGTGTTATCACCAGGTAACTTTATCATACTAGATATCAATGAACTCCACCGGTCACAACTTTCTAGTGTTTCTCAGTATAGAGTTATGGAGATTGTTGAGGTTTTGATTGAGAGCATGAATCAACTGATGTTAGACCACCATTGGAAGCCTAGAAGCACTGGACGACCGTTTTTGTCCTAGTACGGGACTCCTCAGAAGTGCGCATTCGCGATCCCACAGGTGGGAATCGAACCCAGGACCTTCGATCTTGTGCACGAACACTTCCGAGGGGTCCCATACTATGATGAAACGGCTGTCCAGTGCATCCAGATTTCCTATGTTTGTTCAACTAATGTTAGTTCATGATGTAAACTATAAAAAGAAGTTAACAATTCTCATCAACTTCTATACTGACAGTGAAAGTAAACTGTTGAATTTATTTCTTTTTTCATTTCTGTAGACAATGCAAGCAGAGAAAGTTAAAAATGAATCATTATTTTCTTCATCAAAATTAGACAATTCAAGTGAGAAATCATACTCTGCCGCTTCCACCACTAGGAAACGATCTCCTACAAGTTATTCATCAAAAATGAATTTATCCACCATAACAACAACAACAACAACAACAGCGAACAGTTTAGATTTCACAGATATTTCTAAACCGAGACATGATCAATTTGAAACTTATGGCGCTGGTGATAAGTTAAAATTTAATAATAATAATAATAATAATAATAATAATAAAATAATAATAATAATAAAAATCTTTGGAATATATCAAATAATCTATTAAATGATATAATAAATAATACATCATTTCCATTTACTGATCCATTATTTTGGTCGAATTCATTTATTCAAAATGCCAATTTAGATGGGAATTATTTAGCCACTGCGGCAGCGGCAGCAGCGGCTGCGACAGCGATGGCTGCTGTTAATCCAGCTAATCTGTTGAAATTATTACCAGCTCCAATACAATTAAACAATAACACATATTCATCTAATAATACTAATATAAATACGACTGCTACTAGTACTTCCTATTCTTTAACTACTTCACCTTTCACATCATCTTCATCATCATCAGTATTTTCAAATTCACCTAGATTAATAAATAATGACAATGTGAATAATAATGAAAATATCAATGTTACTACAAATACTACTAATTGTAATAATAGTAGTATTGATTTTGATGCGAAACATGATCAACTATCAACTATACAGGGAAAATATTCTAAACGAAATAAATTGTTATCACATACAACATGGTTCGATGATGATCATTTGTTCCAGGTCAGTAATAATAATAATAATGGTAACAATGGACACTCCTCAAGTCCTAAGTTGAATGAGCATAAATTTATATCATCCGATAAAGATTTCAATATAGAATCAGAGATAAACAGACAATCTAATTTAATTAACTTTTATCGTTTATATTTGTCAAACGATTCAAGCCATAATAATAATAATAATAATAATAATAATAATAATAATAATAATAATAATAATAATAATAATAATAATAGTGATTTGAAATATTGTTCACCACCGCCTGCACATATTAGTTCAATTCAATACAGTCCGATAATTAATCAAATATTGGACAGATTAACGGATTCATCATTATTAACTCATGTAAGTTCATTGTTTTTATTCAGAATTTTTCTATCTGGATAGGTTCATTTATATATTCTGGTCAAATCTTAGGTTCATACTGATGGACAGGACAAAATAGTTAGTCGTTACTCTTTGGTGTAATGATAGTGGTATTGCTCGAGATACGATTCTCCTCCTCGAAATGCAAAATGTTGCCTCAGGATTCGGTTGCATCGACACCCGAACTAATGATAGGGAGTGAAGTAGTTGAGCGAGTCAACTGCTTCACTTATCTTGAGAGTCTCATCAGCCCTTGTGGTCTGGTGTGTGAAGCAATCTCAGCACGGATACAGAAGGCTCGACTAGCTTTTGCCAACTTGCGTCATTTATGACGTAGGCGAGATAACCGTCTATCAAACAAAGGACGGGTTTACTGCGCAGCAGTTCGTTCCGTTCTACTTTATGGCAGTGAAACATGACCGGTAGGAGTAGAGAACATTCGTAGGTTACTAGTATTTGATCATAGGTGTCTTCGAAACATTGCTCGTTTATCCTGGGACCATCGAGTAAGCAACGCAGTTGTTAGGAAACGGGTACTAGGTAAGGATGGTTAATCGAAATCTTTTGCAATGGCGCAAGTGCATCCACTCTTTGTGTTCTCCTAAATTCTAATCTTCTGAATTCTTCATGTCCATTATTTTCTTTCCAAATTTATTTCACTGTTTTATACTCCGTGAATAACATCTTCAAGCCCTAATGTTTCAGATTACTGCTCATACTCTTACTACCTCTACCACTACGGAGTTTGAGTCGACAACTGCATCTCTCTGCTAATGTGGTGTGGCAACTCGAACTGATGTACGTGCGTACGAAGTTCTACGTTGTTACTAACTCACTAACTGAATGATCATGATTCACATCGATAAAGTAGGGCAGCGCAAACTGATGCTCAATAGACTCGCTCTTTGGTTGAGAGACGAATATCTCAACTATGCCACAAGTTGTCAAAAACCATTCGAGTTTAGTGGCCCGGAATCTGACTCCAGTTAGAGCGGACAAATGATCAGTATTGAATGATTGCTGTCGAAATATACATCCTGAATATTCTCGCGTTAGTGAATAACGGAATTAAATAATTCAAATATGAGAATGGATTTTGAATACGTATATTTTGTACAATCGATGATAGGAAAGCGAAGTAAAACAAAATGACGTGCAATAGACAAGGCGAGGGAGCTAACTCGATTTAATCAAGCATAATCAATATTTATAGTCACACAAAAATAAGCTACAGACATGTCAGAAGAGAGTTTTGTGGAGATTTCAGTAGTTTAACTGTTGAGATCATGAGTCAACTGAAGCTAGACCATGTGATGAGTAGGTTAAGATACACACACACATACGCTCATATAAAGTTCAGGGTTGATGAGTGAATAATTAACAAGATCAAAGGATGACTCAAGAGTAATGAATGAAGTGATTGTTTTGACATTTGGTCCGAGTCACATTTTGTGCATATTTTCAGATGCCTTTATTCTCACAAAGCAACTAGTTAATTCTACTTGTGAAACTATATATAAATGTTAATTCAATAATATATCAAATATCATACGATCATTTACATACTATTTGGTCTGGACTTGACATAATTAAAATCTTTTCATACACAATCATATCAACTCCCTGAAGATTGGTGTCATCAAAAATGTGAGCTAGAGAATCATTGATATCTGATAGAAGGTCTTGAGGATTGTACAATCACTAACCTATAAGTTATCCGAACTGAAATCTCCAAGCTTCATGACAAACAGGATAGATACTCTTGGGTTATCGAATTCTAATTTAATGGCTACATTTTTAACTGCAATCAACTCATTATGTAACGTTAAAATCACCTAATAATTTTGATTTTACTCGTCACAGTTCCAACAATTAGCCAGTTAGTTATAATCAGCATAAATGGGATTCGTCGGTTATAACTTTTCACCAAAATGTTTGGAATTAATCTCGATGCTATTCATGCTGTTTTATCTCCCATAAAAATATTTGTTTACAATTATACTAGTAATCAGATTATTTTAGATGTACTACGTAAATACTCTAAACATATCAAACAAACTTTAGTGAAGTTAGATTGTGTTTGATAGTGATATTCACGATGGATATTTAAGTGTATTTAGAACACGTCAGCTGAATGTGCCAGTATCGTTGTTCACACTGAGTTTCGAATCCAGTATCATTGACCTTTAATAGCGATGTGTTATCTACTAAACTACTGATTCCAGCTGGCCAATTACTTGTTCAGTGGGTACAATCCAGGTTTACCAAAAACTCGTGACTAAATTGTGAAATAGAGGCGATCCACCCAGTTTTTAGTATCAACAATGGAGAAATACCAACACTTACAGACGAAATCCAAGTAGACATAACTTTCTTTACGGGGGTCAGTTTGGATAAATTCAACAATCTATACATCTAGTTAACTGAGCAAGAACTAATGGGTTTATGTCCAATTTATTAACTTGAATATATTTTATAAAAATCTGAATGCATTTGTATTTCATTTAACAAGTAAACACTACTTATTAGTAGTTTGAGTTTAGCGAACAAATAATGAGCTTGAAAACCTAATGCAACTGGTAACACTATTTGATTGAATCTAATCTCATATTTTGAATTAAGTTTAAAGTATTTCATTATATGTAGTTGTAGGATTCTATGAAAATTGCACAGGCAGTTTAGAGAGCCAAGTGGCACCTCAAGGTAACGGATATTCCTTGTTGACGAATTCCAAATAACACAAAATCTTGATCAATCTGAACTTCCTGTCATTGCCTCCAGGAACCTGGTATCAAATATAGTACAAACGGCTCTAAGTAACTGAAATAAATAACCAAACTACAGTATGATCGATAGAACTCCACAAAACTTAATTAATAGACATGACCTGGAATCTAGTGATTAGTCAATGTAAAACACTGTCTTGTTAAGAAAATATCAAAATTGATATACATCTCTAAAATATTTGAGTATTTTTAAACAATATGACTGCAGTGAGTGGGGACGACTTGCAGTAAGTTTTCAGTATGAATGTTGAGCATCAAATGATGGTGAAAAAAGTTGCTTATTTTAAGGTTATAAGCATACAAAGAACAGGCGTGGATTATCTAATGTTTGAAAGCAACTTTCACAAAGGACTTACAGTTAGACCGTTTTACATAAAAAGGCGTAACCAATTTTTCTGTCTAGGTCTCCTTTTACTTGCTCACTTTTTGGTGAATGATAAATTTTTAAATAATTTAAATGTTTAGTGTCTTTTTCCCTTCGTCAATTCCTTCTTCATATTCATAACACACTGAGAGTTTATTAACGATTTTCGCTTTCTAGATTTAGTAGTTTCATTTGGTTAACTCTTTTTCTGGAATATGAAACTATGACTTAGTAGTTTCAGAGCTCAGCTTTCAACCAGAAGATTGCAGATTCGAACCCAAATCCCACCAATTTTTACTCAGTCATATGATTATTTTTAATAACCGTCAAACAATGTATGTTCCAAAGTCGAGTATGCTAATGAAAAAGACTATATAATGAATAGTAATTTTGGGTAGAGGTGTATAGAATCATATGTGGAAAGTATAAACTGACATTAGGATGACAGGTGCATTGGTAGTGATAAGAAAATAACAATTTGAATAAATTCTTAACATAGGAAGTAGTCCAAAACTGGGGAAATTAAACCTTTTGATATAAGTCATTTAAAAATTATGTAATAAGAAGTGTTATAGTAATCCTTTTGAGTACATAAGTAGTGAAAATGAATAAACAAACATATGGCGTGGATAATTGGTAGAATTGTTTACTAAGACTTATTGGATCAAACGAATGTTATAAGTCCTTTTTCAATATGGTGACTAGGGTTGTCAACTCGAATCCATATAGTTCCTGATATATGTAGGAGACAAAGTCGAATCCCTTTAGAAGTACCTGATGGTTTACTTTAAACAACTCTGAATATTTTGGCTCTATGTACCACAGAGTGACTATCAACTAAGCGTGATGACACAAGCCAGAGTATGTACACGATTGGGAATTTTTACCAGTAGAGTTGTAGTGTGAGCTACCTATATCCACATAAGTAGTATATAACGATAGTCAGGAATAGGATGTATATCAGTAGAAGATAGAGAAGGAAAGAACGGGAACGGGAAGCAATTGGTATGAAAATGCAGGAACAACGAAATTTGAGACGATGGACTGATATTTGCAAAAGGAACAGTCAAGTTTGAGACAATTGATTGATATTTTGCAAATTAACTATTTACTGTATGGATCGTAGATTTTAGTGAAATATTCTGTAATTTTGTGTTCAAATACATCCGACCGTCCCCACTCGTATTCTTGTTCGTTAAAAAATTACTCACTGACGATGGTAGGAGGAACCAGAAGAATTACTTAGTCACCTTAATTGTTTCAGACAACAGACCATCACAAAAAACCAGATCCAGATGAATGGAGGAAAATTGAGAAACTGATGAAGGTTTTCAAGAGGAACGAGATGTGTGGTCTTGGTTCCGCGAACCCCCAGTCGCCAATTTGTTGTGACTTCGAGCCAGGCTAGTTATCAAGTGATTTGTTCGTCAATCGGAAATACCACTTACGCAGTCTTGGTACTGTGCCCAACTAACAACGTATCGACCGATATGAGCAGCCTAGCGTCCTTATTGATCCTTTATTCGCCTAGCGTATCTAGTTGAGTCCAGAACGTCAATAACAGCTTCCACTATGCGAATCATCTATCTCAAACAGACTTGGTTTATATACCAGCCAAACAGACCGCATCACACCATAAAATAGAAAATAACATTTCTACAAGATCAAGTCAAAAAGTGGTTGTGATTGTGGGTAACTGTAATCAATAAACTAAACATAACTTAAGAACAGTAAATCCTATAATAATAGTCCATGAGTAAAAATGAAGCTTATAATAAGCAGAGTATAGATATAAATAATCTTGTTACTGAGCGGTTATATAATAGGAATGTATATATAATATTAGTCCATTAATAGTTCTCAGAATAAGGACGCTCGGCTGCTCATATCGGTCGATACGTCGTTAGTTGGGCACAGTACCAAGGTTGTGTAAGTGGTATTCCGATTGACGAACAAATCACGTGATAACTAGCTGGGCTTAAATGCATAACACTAATTATCTCTTGTTACATTCACTATTACAAGACAAGTTTGTTGAAAGCACTGACGAGATTAGAATTTATGAACGGACCAATCAGGTATGAGATAACAGGTCTTGGATTTTGACGCGAAATTCACTCGTCCTTTTGGCTGAAGATTTTTAGCATTATAGCTGATGTCAGTTCGTGATGAAAACCCTAAATCTAATTCCCAATCTTAATAATGGACTGTGTATCATAATTATAATTCCTGAACACTCTCAAGGCCAGTCTGGCGTCGCTCAAAGCTCGTCCATATATTATAATCTCACCGAAGCATTTTATCGCATGATAGTGTTTGAGGCCAGTTTAGTTTTTATGAGAATGATAGGAAAAATGTTTGGTGTAATATTAATCTGAAAAAGAAACATACAACTTATAATGATTCTTTCTTTTCCATAACTTAGAATGATGTGGAATTTTTTATACAAAATTATGAAATTACCAAAGTTGCCATTCAACAAGCACGTTGTAGATCGAATTTAATTTTGAAGAAAATTGAAATTGTAGAAAATCAAATTAGATCTTCTTCAATAATCAATTCAAAAACAATGCCATTAAATCTATCTTGATCACTTATATATATATATAATCGGTTTATTTATATATGTAAAGAAAGAATGATTCTTCAGTTTGTCATTGTGACAATTATTTACTGTGTATAAATAATGCGATTGGAAAGTAAAGACAAGGAATCATCTTGAATTTACACTGTGTTATACTTAAGAATTCTATAAACAGGAACTAAATCCTGACGAATTGGATTGTGAAAGTAAAACAAACAAACAAACAACAACAGAATTGTGGTTATTTCATTTCGTTTGTTATTGTTGTTCGTGTTATTTGTCTTCTTCAGTGTATTGACCTACTAACTATAGACAAATGTCAAGGAAGTGTTTTGTTTTTTCGTTCTAGTATGTATGTACATTGATTGCTCAATAGTTAGTTATTTTGAGAAATGTAATTCACTTTTGATTTATTAAACATTTAGTTTTAAAACAAGTAGGTTTTCTGATGTGTTTTTCTTGAACAAGCTTGTTGATTGTTAAATTAAAACAAAGATGCAGCATGTTTAAAACTTCATGACAAGATTTATGCCTAATATTCAATTAATTGTAGAACGATTAATCACTGTTTTGGTGATCAGAAAATTTATTTTAGAATGATAACGAGAAAATTGCTAACGGACCATTTAATAATGTAGTGAGATATACTAGACTACTTATTAATCTTTTGAGTAGTATAATTGTGACAGGCAATTTTTGTACTCAGACACGTTTTTCAAGCATTTTGATAATCCGGGTACTATTGTATAGACAAAATGATATTTCAAACGTCAATGACTATCCTCCACACATCATTTTGAAAAACTCAGTGCCTCCAAACTAAAAGTTATACAGATTCCAGTTTCCGCTAATACACTTCATATGATTGCGAGATTGATATACAAAATCACAATTAATGCATGATATATCAACCTTTTAATAAAATGAATCCAGGAATCTGTCCAACTATGATCGTAACTCATTTATAATTAATTGTCTTAAAAGTACAGTTTTTCTCACAAACTTTTCTGCTAGTAAACATAAGATGGTAAAAATAGTAGGTCAACATTTTTGTAGACAATGATTACATTTATCAGTATAGGGTTATGTAGATTGTTGAGCTTAGATTGAATATCATGAATGATCAATGTTACATTTATAAAGAAAAAAGACAAGTTAGAGAAGAGAATTTTCTGAAAAGTTTCATTTATCTAAGCTATACACACGTTTTTATAGTTAATAAATTTGTTATAAATGATAGTTGCATAATGTGGCCATTAAGAGTAGAAGATACTCGTAGGCTACTGGTATTTGACAACAGATGTTTACAAAATATTGCTCCCAGCTGCTGGTATCACCGGGTAAGTAGTGGTGAGGTTAGACACAGGGTATTAGGGAACGATAGTAAATCAGTTGATGAGGTTGTGAATCTTCATCGACTGAGATGGTTGGGTCACGTGTTACATATGCTTGAACACCGATTACCACGGTGCACAATGCTGGCTGGTGTTGGGAGCAGCTGTAAGAAAGTTAGGGGCGGCCAAACCAAAACGTGGCATCAGTGCTTGAAGTCACTAACTTCTATTCTGAGCCATGTTGGTAGATGCAAACTACTTGGTTGGGGCCCGTGTGACCGTCGTAACCAATGGTTGGAGACTGTGGGTGATATGGTTCAGAATCAATCACAATGGAGTAGGTGTATACACTCTCTATCTTCCTTTAAACTAAGAGATTAAAATCGCTTCATATCTTTTTTTCTACAGATTAATTCTTTCTTTATGTACTATGTCCTTATATGCAATCCTTCTTTTATATATTACCACCACTGAATTAAGTACTTCTATGAATGTGGTGTTCATCATGTTATGCTAGTTAGGTGTGGCAACTTGGACCGATGCACCTATGTACCTGGTCCTACGTTGTGACTGACTGACGATAAATGATGGCCTGTATTAAGATATAATGAAATTGACTAATTAGAAAATTCCAGCAAATATACTAACCATAAATATGATAGTATAACAAAGGAAACTCACTTCACTGAACTATCCTTATTCTTCATCAATCATACAACGAGACTCCATATATATTTAATCATTGAATTTACTGACCTACTCACTTACTTGTGTTTACTTAAACTGCCAATAAATATTACAAACGTTTCGTACATTGTAAATAGTTTTATTTGTTGTGATTTTAAGATATATAAGTAGTTTGTTTCACAAAATTAACTGTAGAAACGTTATGTTTGAAGTTTCACGAGTTCACTTAAATCTGCGAACGAGAACAAGACTCAGTGATCAAAGACCAGTAATCTAGCTATTGATGCGTTCCAGCCCCGCTATCTAGAAGAAGTTCAAGCTTGGTATGGAAAATATATTCTGCAAACAGCCAGAAACCGAGCGAGCACCACAAACACAATTTAAAACGTATATATATATATATATATTGCCATGGAGCTTTTAAACATTTAATCGATAAGTTCATCAATCGACTATGTGCGTGGGTGATAAGGAATGCCCACGCATCTATCTGCATACAAGCTCCACAAAGATAAAATTACAAACTATGAGTTTTTGGGGATCTATCGTCCCACTCCTCCCCTTTTTAGAAGATCCGGAGTTGATATCCGGATTAAAGGACAGCGACTTATCGATCGAATCAAGGGATTCAGAATCTCGATAGGCTATTCTGGTCCGTTGTACCCGACTCAGCTAACGCGATCAAGAAGTCTGGGTGAGACGTAGAAAGTGTATTCTACAGGTAAACAGCAGATATCAAGTCAGGTCAAGCACACAAGTCAAGCTTATTTATACAAATATTTACAATCGATATTGTCATAGTAAAATGTTTTTAAACATTAATCAATAAGTTCGTCAATTGATTGCCATTGATATATTTAAACATTTAATCGATAAGTTCATCAATCGACTATGTGCGTGGGTGGTAAGGAATGCCCACGCATACATCTGCATACAAGCTCCACAAAGATAAAATCAAAAACTATGAGTTTTTGGGGATCTATAGTCCCCAACAAGGGATAAAACTAAAGTCTCGACAGCTATATACAATGGCGGATTTATGTTGTGGGAATAGTTAACATAGACTTATTTTGTAATTAGTTCTTGTTATTATTCACATTTTCTTTTATCAATTCTCATAATTTATCGAATTACCATTATCGACTGTAAAATTGTTGTTTAAAAAAAACACATGATCTTTGATCATCCATTCTGATTTTGAATCTCTCTTGCATGACACATTGATTATCGCTAACAAATACACTGCTGTACGCATATACTTCTTGTATTCAATTATCCTCTGTTACGATAACAGAACTCTGATATGTTTGCTGTATATGTTTACAGATCATATAGACATTCTCATTACATGCTTTATCTAGATATACATTTCGGATTGTAGCAATCATAGTTGGAATTACTAAATACTTATAATTGTGGATTACAAGACTAAAAGAAACTAGAACACGCCTACTTCGGACAGTTTAAGTAACATCTAGTATATGCAGAAAAAAAAGCGAATAATAACAAGAACTAATTACAAACTAAGTCTATGTTAACTATCCATACAACATAAGTGTCAAAAAAACCAACACGGTTTTTTAAACTGCATATACATTTCTACTTAAGTTTAATTAGTAGTCAACGTTTTATGACAATCATTCACTGAACGATACACTTGTATGTCTCCCATGAAGTAAGAGTTCTATTTAATGATTAATAATAATAAAAAGTCCTACAATAATAAAATAATAACTCTAAGGCTATGACATAATTGTCCAAGTGTCATTAACAAGAATTTAAAGTTATTTAGATTGTGTAATTATTATTAGTAGGGGGAATATCAACCATTCTAACCAAATTATAACTGGATATAATCAAAAGAAAAAACGGATTCTTATCAGCTATACATTATAATTCAATTAAAGAATGGATAATAACATATAGAGAGAATCTGTTATTAATTCTGTTAACGGATGATAATAATAGATTTATAGGTATGTATATGTGATTAAGAAAAATTATAAATCACAATATTTTCCTTGTGTATGTGTATGTGTAACTCAATTAGAAAAAAATAGTTTGTTCAATAGCATCAAAATATTATAGAAAAAAAAACACAGTTGTCAACAAAATAAAATGGGCTAAGTAGGTAGGTAGGTAGGTAGGTAGAGAGAGAGAGAGAGAGAGAGAGAATATTTATCATAATCGGATAACAGTTACTGAAAAGAAGTATACAATTGTAATCAAGTAGTATTTAAATGAATCACCACAAATTGAAACTTATGCAATGCACAATATCGTTATAAGTGAATATATTTATTGAGTTAATTCAAAGATTAGAGTCCAAGTGTTCATGTTTAGTCATGGCCAAATCGATCTCATTGATCATTAACTGGAAAAGAATGAGTTAAGAAAAAAAAGAATAGACACTATCGTATAAACACAGTAGTTAGTCATAAACAACATAAAGTCTAGCATAAAAGTGTATCAGCCCATTATGTCAAACTACATTATGACGGTGGGATGAAGATAATAAATAACAAATGAGTTGAAACCATTGTAGTATTAATGATAGGGAGAAAGATTAAATATTGGATAAAACGTCTTCAACCACTGTTCGAAGTTTATGCGCATATCTTAACCAATTAGTCTGAATCTACCAAGGTAAGTGGTGGTTTACCGGCTCATTAACCCGAATTTTGTACTCTAAGGTTGCGGTAAAAAATTGTCGAAATCACGATTAATTGAGTTTTTTCTCAGATCACTCAAGAAGTAGAATGCTTCCAACAAGGAAGTGAAAGTTTTTATGCCTCAAATAGCAATTAAGCTAACCTTATTTACACAACTAACAAATTCTTTAATTCGCGATAGGTGCAAATCATCAAACCGATTTTGAGCCATACTGTCTGAGATATTCGGTCATTGGTTCCAAATGTTACGTGGACCCTATCTATGAGTCAATGAATTCATGAATAAGTATTACATTTTGATCTGATCGATTAT